TTTTGTTTTTCGAAAATGGTTCGAAGCAATATTTCTCGTTTCGAAGCAAAAATTTTGGAAGGGTAAATTTTGACAGCTCAACTATCTGTTTATTCCTAAAGTACTATACATGCGAGCATGGCAAGCACGGCGTTTGTAGACCAAGAAAAAGCCCTTGCAAAGACGGCCACCACACAACACGACTCGTTTTCATTGTCTCTCCTCCTCCGCAAATCTTGAATACCATCGTATCGCGCCTCTGCGTAAGCACCGCCATGTTCGTCATCCTCCACAAAAACGACCTCATCTTGATCAACATGATCATCTTCCTCCACTTCACAGGAAAGTATAAGGTCTGCTAACTGAATCCGCTGGTTGTAAAACGAAACATACACACCCGGCGAGTGCAGCGGCTCGTATATCAGCCTCGCAGCAGATCTCGCTTCTCCTTCTCCATACATCTTGAAGAAGGAGAATGAAAAACGAATTACTTCAAAAAAAAAAAAAAAATGGAGGTCGCAATCTATGAGAATTCTAGTGTAGTTTGGCTGTTTAAATACCGGATAACGACGGGCCGGTGGGCGGAAAGCGATAGAGTCGTTAGTTTGATTGGGCTACGTGGATCGGTTAGGGGTGGGTACGTGTTTCGGGGGGAAAATGCGGTGGGCCGAGTTTATCCAAAAGTGGGGAAAAGCCCAAAAACTCAGAATACATATATATTTTTTTGTATTAACGTCCCAATATTTGGAAATCACGTTGGATCATTATTAAATCGAAATCGAGCCACATTGGACCATGTTAGAAGGAAGTTCTCTCAGCACTTATTTCTTTATTCACAAGACTTGAATTCAAAATCTTATTTAAGAAGAATCGAGTTCCTTTCACACGAACCAATAAGTCGTTGGTAAACTCAGAATATATTGAATCTATGTATTTGTTGTTATGGTGGCAGACAAATTGGATCACATGCCAATATTTCATTGCTTGATTTTACATTGTAATTGTTAATAACATCCTCAATGTAAAAATGTAGTATTAAGTTGGAGGGAAAGAATTGCATTTTCAATTCATCTACTTGACTCCACGTTCACAATTGGTTGAAAGCTTTTAACGAGACAAGATCTTAGACATGTTGATTTAGTTGTAACTTTTATAGAATCTATACAAAACTTTAAGCCCATTGTTTGCAAAAATGTTAACTCATGAATTTATATAAAATAATTATAAAAGTTTTAGAATTTGATAAAAATTATTAACCTAGATAAATCAATAATGTTATAGTTGTAATATCATGTAATATTATAAGTTTATAATTATAACGTATTATTAAATGTATAAATATATATAATATTA